GGTTTGCTTAGAGCGCTGTGCTGCGGTACTAACCATAAACACATCTTGTGTGCATGGTGTGGTGCATCAGATTACGAAACCACTGATAGCACAAAAATTTTGACACAGAAGATTAAATTGTTAAGTTCATGCCTCACAACACTGTAGTAAATTTTCTCAACTGTAACATTTAGACTATATAATGCACAAATCAATAACAATTAATGTACCTATTTTTCCTCACACCAGAAAAATGTCTGCTAAACTGTCATGAAAAGATGATGTACATCAATTTGGTCTAGTCAATTTTAATGTACATTCATAAGTATTCTGTGCATCTTAATCTCACACCAAAAACAGTTTAGTAATAAATGGATAATAAGTGAATTTTAAGTAACACCAGCAAAATTAAAAGGAAAAAACGCTTCACATAATACATCTCATTTTTTCTGAGAAATACATTTTTTTAAAAAGGCATAAAAATCTGTGACAATTATGAAGTGAAATACAATAGGTGCCTCTGAGCTTTTATGACTGTAAATTTTAATTGCTCAGCCACTCAGATTGAAAGAGCTTTAGCCCAGATGACAAAAAAACAATTTTAAATCTCTATCAAAAACAGAACTACCAAGACTCAAGTGTCACACAAAAAGTCACATATATTAAACATTCATTACAGCATTTTTTGTATAGCACAATTTTGGGAACAATCTAAAAGTTATCAATAAACAATTAGTTAAAGTCTAACTGCAAAACTTCACAAGGTTGTCCTTAAAAAAAAAAAAAAAAAAAAAAATGAGTCACCTTGAAGATATATTGTTGCTTGGACTGGGGGCAGGATTGGGGAGGGAATTTGCATAAGGAGGGAAAGAAGCCTAACACATATTCACTGAGTCACTCTGGTCTTTCTGGAAAGACATACAATAAAAATGATTTTCTGAGGAAAGGGAACTAAAATGCTGAAGACAGATAAAGGAGTCTTGATTTTTTATGTACCTTTTACAGCCTTTCATACACTGTGATTTATGTCCTAGTCAACAATGTAAAAGACTGATGTATTTTGGTTTTACAGATTGAATAAGACTTAACTGTAAGCTCAGACATTGGTTGAGGGAGAATCTACTAAGCAAAACAACATCACATTACAATATAGAATAACTTTCCTAAAACTTTTCCATTGAAACTAAGGCTCCTTCATTTATTTTGTCAATAATTCAGTGCTTTGATTATTCTAGGCATTAACGGAGCCATACCCAGGTCATCTGAAATTCTTCATAACTTTGAGCAGTAAAAGGGGGATACAGGAGATAAAAGAAAACTGTGGTTTACATAGGGCAGGTAAGGTAGATATTAGTGAGACAAACAACACACCATGTGAGCAAGAATACAACAAAGGCAAAATGAGCAATGCAACAAACAGGAATTAAGTCCTGTGACTGTAGTAAGTGCTAAGCCAGTTATTGTTCAGGGTACAGCAAAGTAACAGTGTGACTACAGAGAACAGAAGTCCAGGAGATGCACTAAGAGACAGGCAGATCTCAGGTACTTGTAGAGCCTTGCATCTGGGGGAGGGGAGGTGTCAAGATCTTTTAAGTGTGACAGAGAACTTCTGTAGAGTAACATGATCTGTATTTTAAAAAAGGTAACACTAGCTGCCACTTAGAATTAGGCTAACACAGCAAGTCAGGCAAAGAATGATATATAACAAATGCAGCTCCTACAGAATTTTCTACTGGATTGGATATGGAAATCCAAGTGAGACAGCAACTGGGTGAACAGTCATTCAAAAAAAGTCATATTTTTATAATTATTTACAGTTAGCAAGGTACTTGTACATACCTTAAGTCATTTCCCAATAATAAGAGACAGGGGAAGGTCACACTGGTCAAGATCCAAGTTCTGCCTCTTGCCAGTTTTAAGACCTTAGGAAAGTCATTTGAATCAGTTACTAGAATGTAAAACATACTGTCTAGATCATAAAATTTTTTCAAAGGATCAAATGGCTGAAGGAATGTGCAAAAGGAAATAATGACCATTATGAAAGAGCATCATGTTAATCCTAGTTGTCCAAATCAAGCTATCTCATTTTACTATTTCCATCAGATAAGAATAATCAACACTACATTTCATCATTTGAAAGTCAAAAGGTCATGAAATCCCAGCTGCTCAGGAGGCTGAGGCAGGAGGATCACAAGTTCAAAGCCACTCTGAGCAATTTATCAAGGTCTTAAGCAAGAGACCCTATCTCAAAATTAAAAAAGGACAATGATTCCCTGATACAGAAAAATAAAAAATTTCAAAATTTTAAAAAAGAAAAAAAAAAAGTCAAAAGGTCATAAGAAATAAATTAACAGTCCAGTAAAGCTGGGCACAGTGGTGCACACATCTGTAATACCCTAGATCAGAAGTCAGTAGCCAGTCAGTCCTGGTAACTTATACCGTCTCACAAAATAAAAAATAAAAAGAGCTGGGGGTCTGCTTTGGTGGTAAAGTACCCCTGTGTTCAATCTCCAGCGCTGCCAAAAAGAAAAAAAAATGAAAGTATTTTCAATGATTATAGAACAACCTACATAAATACATGGTTGGACACTAAAAAATTATAATCTAAAACTGTCCTTTATAGCTGTAAATATATTAAACCGAGGCCACTAATTTTAACCTTTTTTCTTAAAATGTTTTTAATTGTAGATGGACATAATATCTTTATTTTTATGTGGTGCTAAGGATCGAACCCAGTACCTTCCACATGCAAAGCAAGTACTCTACCACTGAGCTACAATCCCAGCCCACTAATTTTAACCTTTACATGACAAAAATCAAGGCAAATTCATTAGAGATGTTATCAGTAAGATACTGTAAAATTAAGGTTATGTTACAGTATAAGTTATCATTTTAAACAGTAAAATATAGATGCTTAGCATAAATTTAATGAATGCCAAATTATTTTTTTTTTCCTTTGTGGTGCTGGGGACTGAACCCAGGGCCTTGGGCATGTGAGGCAAGCTATATCCCCCAGCCCACGACAAATTAATTTAATTATGAGAACTCCAACTTATTGCTTTCAACCATTTCTGCAAATTTATAAACAAGTTTACACAAAATTTATTTTTCCATCCAAGGCTTTTGTATGACTGATTCACCTCTTCAAAATCAAGCAAAAATGGGAAAAATGCAGGTAAATGTTTAGTTCGCTATGTATTTTAGAGAATTGCCTTTAATGTCAATTTCTGATAGGTACTTAGACCATAACCTAAGTAACAATAAATAAAAACTCGAAGATATTTGGTGCACAGTTCTCACTTTTCAACTGGGCCTCCATAAGCATGATCGTTGGTGGATATGTAACTGCATCATAACCAAAACCACACTGTAAGAACCTTCCAAGGTATATGATAATTAAACCTCCTTGGACAGAGTCTAAGACAAATCCATAATACAACCATGAAGGTTCAGATTATTAGACTCCAGAGCTCACTGACAATCTGTTCTTCCCTCATTTCTAAGAATTTCTACCTTACAGAAGTGTTTTGGGTTTTCTTTTCTTTTTTTTTTTTTGCTTTGCTTTTACAGTACTGGGATTGAACCCAGGGACCCTCTACTGAGCTACACCCCCAATCCTTTCCTTTTTTTTTTTTGAGACAGGGCCGTTAAGTTGTCCTTGCTGGTCTCAAACTTGAGAACTTCTGCCTCAGCTTCAGCCTCCCGAGTCGCTGGGCTTCCGGGTGTTGTGCCACCATAAAAGGTCTAAATTTTCTAAATCAAGCACCTTCTGGTCAATGACACGCAACCCTCCATGTCTAACATATTGAACCGTGAATGCATGAAACACTACCCAATACATCCTTCGACGCCTAAGAGGTCTTCCGCCTAGTATGCATCTCTTCCCCAAAAACTTTGGACAAAAAGAACACGATTAAATATGTTCACCAGTTCATATCGAGCAAAATCAAGCTGCAAATTTAGTCATTTGCTGGCATAGTGAGCAATGTAGATGTTCAACTAATTTTTTATGAAAAAAAAATACAAATTTTAGTTTTCGTGGAATGCAAGAAATTTATCTGGTCTGAGAACTCACTGATGTTATGTAAAGAATTTACAAAACCAAGACATCAATCAAAATTTTTCATGGTTTCATATGTACTAGTCAAACTATAGGATTCATAAACAGGGGAAAGACGGTTTAAACAAATAAAGCGCACAAAATCGAGAGGCAAAAGATTTCATAAGCTCTCCCTCAACTGCGGCCCTCCCGCAACCTCGTGTTAAACTATTTCCTCGTAACAGAAACAGCTCACACAGGAGTTTGCCAACCAGAGTAAAATCACTTCATGGAGATAACGAGCGGAAATGTATTTAGGAGAGAAGACCGCGGAAGCCGGGGCAACTCTGCGCGGAGCGCCTCCGTCCCGGACCCCGCCAGCCAGAATCGAGCATGTGCCGACCGCGGCAGGACGCGAGGCCCTCCGGGGGCCGTCTCCCGGGACGCAGGGCCCCGCCCGGCCTCACCCTCCCGGTTCATTCATTCTGCACCCAGGGCTGCCGCACCCCCGCGCTCCTAGCCCGGCAGAAAAGGAACTCCGGGGCTGAGCGGCCGTGGTGGGCCACAACCCCCGCGCAGAGTCCGGGCCAAGCCGCGATTCCCGCGCACCCGCGGCCGCCGCCCCAGGGTGGTCTGAGAGACCAAGGAGGCCCGCGCCTGCCCGCGCCCAAGACCAGAGCCCCGCAGCACTGCAGCCTTGTAGCCCCACCCTCCGCCCGGGCGCGGGCCAGGCCTCCCCGCCCGCGGGGCGGCCTCTTGGAAGCCCCGGTGCCCGCCGCCCGGCTGCCCCGCCGCGGCCGGAAGTCTCCCCAGCGCCCCCTCCCCAGTGCCCGACTTCCCTCGCCGCGGCCGCCGGACCCTCTCCGCGTTGCCTCGGGCCTCTCAGCGAGGGCCGCGGACCGGAGAAAGCCTAGGGTCACTCGACACACCACTCCGACAGACCCAAGCAGAGTGAGAAGCCGGAGACCGGCCTGTAGGTTACCTTGATGATCCTGCGGGGCAGCCCGGCCATCTTGTCAGATCCCGAGTTCGGCCTCTGGTTTCGTCTCCGTCTCCGCTTGCCTCACGCACGAGTGGAAGTCCCGGGCTCCACTTCCGGGCGACGTTGCCGCGCCCGCCGCCGCCACTGCCGAGGCCCCTCGGGAAATGTAGTCCCTGCTCGGGTGTGGGCTCGGGCGGGTTTCCCTCCGACCTGGCCCCCTCCCCCGCGTTCCCCGCCCCAACCCCAGCTGGGGGTGGCGGAAGTGACGCGCCGCGATGGGGCAGGGACTTGGGGGAGGCGGCGCGGAGCGGCGCGGAGCTCGGGCGCCCGCAGCCGAGCCTGCGGCGTGACGGTGGGACTAAGCGGCTAGAGCCCGCAGGCCCTTTATGCCGGGCCCCGCCCGCGCCGGTGGACGACGTAACAGAGGCCCGGCCTCCGACGTAGCCCATTCATTCCTTCCAAGGTTCATTCAGCTTGCCTGCATTGCCACCGCCCGGCTGTGGCTGCGGGGACACACACACAAAAAAAGCTTCTAAGCATGGGTCTCGCTGGTTGTCCAGATCTTGGTGGTGGAGTCTTGATGTTTAAATAAACTCGGCCCCTGGGTAGGCTAAAGGAGAAAGGGTTTAGAGCGAGTTAGACTCGGGAAGATGAATGGTTTCTGAACGCTTGGACCTAGCAGTTGAGATGCAGAGTTGCTAACTTGACGAATGACCAAAGAGAGAATTAAAGAACGCAAGGGATTACCCACTCTACCCAAAAGGAGGATTACAATGAGGGTGCCCGAAACAGGAACTGGGGAAAGAAAGCATTTTACTGTTAGGCATTGTCACTTGCTAGGCATTTTACTGTTTGCAAGCATTTTACTTCATCTTTATAGCAATCTTAAGAAGGTACTGCCTCTATTTTAAAATGAGGTTTAGAAAGATAACTTTTTACAATGTTATAGCAGAAGAAAGTGGAGCTGTTTTGTTCCTAGGCAGGTCTTCAAAGACATGGGTACTAACTACTACTTAACCAGAGAGTCTCCTAGCACAGTAACAAAGAAAATAGATGGTGAATGAATGAACGAAGATATGCCAGGTATGGTGTTAGAGGATGAGAATACAAAAAAGAAAAGGCTGGATATGCCTTCCAATGTAAGAGAGAGACAAGTAATTAATTACAATCCAGTGTGTTAAGGGCTATCATAGAGGTTCCTCCAAAATACTATTTGAGCACAGAGGCATTAACTGCATTAGAACTTGGAGAAGACATCTTAAAGAAGTAAAGGCTTGAATAAAGAGTAAGTACCTACCAGATCCAGCAGTGAGAGCATACAGCTATAGAAAATAGCCTATGAAATAGCATTGTGCTGTGAGAAAGAAAAAAAAATAAGGCTTTAAATAAACTAGAGATATGAGTGCAGGAAATCTAGTAAAAATAATGAGAAACATTTCAAGCTCGGCACAGTAATAAATGATTACATGGATTATCTCATTTGATCATAAAGCATACAAGGAAGGCTTTATTATTTCCATTACCTTTAAAATGAAAAACTACGGCTCAGAGGTAATGAGAACTTGAAAATGAGAACTTCAAATAACCAGAAGTCTGAAATGGGTTGTTCTGTGATAGAAGAACCTGAGAAGGTTAATGACACTGGACAAAGATAATTTCAGAATATTTTAGAAAGGGCCCGGGATAATTCACCCTTCTAGGAAAAAAAGTCAGAGCAGCTATTAGAAGTACACAAATCTAGCTGAGCGCAGTTGCAAACCCCTGTAATCCCAGGGGCTGGGAAGGCTTATGATGAGTTCAAAGCCAGCCTCAGCAACTTAACCAGGCCCTGAGCAACTCAGTGAGACTCTATCTCTAAATAAAATACACATACACACACAAAACACACACACACACACACACACGCACGCAAAAAAAACGGTGAGGTGGCTAGGCACAAGCCTGTAATCCCTGCTGCAGGGGGTGGGGTGGGGGGGAGGGATGGGGGGAGGCTGAGACAAGAGAGTTCAAAGCCTGCCTCAGCAACTGTGAGATGCTAAGGAACTCAGTGAGACCCCGTCTCTAAATAAAATTCAAAATAGGGCTGGGGATGTGGCTCAGTGGTCAAGTGCCCCTGAGTTCAATCCCTGATACCAAAAAAAAAAAAAGGTATGCAAAACTGCAATTTGGGCTGGGCTTGGAAAGGAAGACACATCTCTGCTCCATGCTGCATTCTGTGGTTCAAATCTGGAATGTCCCCCTAAACTCCTGAATTGAAAGCATGGTTCCCAAAGCAATAAGTTTCAAAGGTAGGACTTTTAGGAAATGATTAGATCATGAGGGCTGTAACTTCATCAGGGGATGATCCATTTTTATGGATTAATAATTTGCATGGCAGGTGTGTGGCTGAAGGAAGAGGGTCACTGGGGGTGTTCGCTGGAAGAGTTATCTTTTCCCAATCTCTTTCCCTCTCCTTCTCCCTTTCCCTCTGTGTCCCTATCTCTCACTCTCCCTCCTTCCCAGCTGACATGAGCCAAGCAACTTTCCTTTCTCTCACTTGGGGCCCAGAACAATGGAGTAGGCTGACCGTGGACTAAGACCTCTGAAGCCAAGAGTCAAAATAAATATTTCCTTCTCTAGGTTATTCTTGTCAGGTATTTTGGTTCCAGCTACAAAATGGCTGACTAATACAATGTGTCAGCCTAGACAATTGACAGGGGCCAGAAGATCCACTTCCATGATGCCTCACAGGTCTGGCGAGTCCTTGCTGGCTGTTATTCCATTTCCATGAGGGCCTCTCCCTGGTGTGTCATGACTTCCCCACTGCAAGATGGCTGGGTTCAAGAGTGAGTGGTATAACAAACAAAAGTAGAAGCTGAATTGCCACTTTTGACCTAATTGTGAAGTTACACCGCATCACAATCGCCACAATCTAGTGGTCAACCAGCAACAAACAAAAGCCACCTAGTTTCAAGGGTGGAGAACACGGAGTTCATCATCCCTTGAAAGGGGAGTGGCACGATTCTAGAAACTGAGGCCAGGTTGTGGCTCAGTGGTAGAGGTCTCACCTAACACATGTAAGGCTCTGAATTCAATCCTCAGAACCACATAAATAAAATAAAGGTATTGTGTCCATCTGCAACTAAAAAAAAAATTTTTTTTAAAGATTCTAGGAACTAGCAGAATATGTGTGATGGAAGGTTTAATTGTAGACAACTTTAGAAAACACAAACAGCCACATGTACAACATTTGTCAGAGTATATTTATAGTCATCTACCTTTGCATCACCTAGGGTGCTAGTAAAATAAAAGCATTTCCAGAGCCTTTCCTCCAGAGATGTAAATTCTCCAGTCAGTATGTAAACCTGAAAATCTGCATTTATTCTTTTGATATATCTCAGCATTTGTGTGTGTGTGTAAGTGGTACTGTGGTCAAACCCAGTGCATCATAAATGCTAGGCAAGTGTTCTAACAGTAAGCTACATCCACCCCTTTTTAGTTTTTATTTATTTATACTCTTTTTTTTTTTTTTTTTTTTGATACCAGGGATTGAACTCAAAAGCACTCAGTCACCACTGAGCCACATCCCCAGTCCTTTTTTTGCATTTTATTTAGAGACAGGGTCTCACTGAGTTGCTTAGTCTTGCTGTTGCTGAGGCTGGCTTTGAACTCATGCTCCTCCTGCCTCAGCCTCCCGAGCCACTGGGATTATAGACCTGTGCTACTCTGTCTGGCTTATTTATATTCTTATTTTATTTTTGTTTAGTTATTTATTTTGGGTACCAGGGATTGAACACAGAGGTACTTAACCGTTCAGTAATGTCCCTAGCCCTTTTAATTTTTTTATTTTGAGTCAGAATCTTGCTAAGTTTCTTAGGGCCTTGCTAAATTACTAAAGCTGGCTTTGAACTTGTAATCCTCCTGCCTCAGCCTCTGGAAATGCTAGGATTCCAGGCGTGTGCCACCATGCCCAGCTATAGTGTTTATTTTGAAACAAGGTCTTACTAAATTTCTCAGGCTGGCCTCAAATTTGTGATCCTCCTGCCTCAGCCTCCTCAGAAACAAACTATAGGTGTGGGCCATGCCATTGTAGTAATAGTATCTTAACATTTGAAAATAAAAGATTTTTGGAAAGCAAGAACCCCCCAAAAAGTATAAACAAAGTGTTACTGATTGTTTTATTTTGCCTATCATCTATCAGAACAGATAATGACTACCACATAGATTAAGAATGAGGACTCCAGAGCCTCAGCCTGAGTTTGAAAACTTACATTTTGCTTAATTTCTTCATCCTTAATTTTCTTCACCTATAAAATACATATAACTTCATGTAGTTGTAAAGTTGAAATGACACAATATATAAAGTACTAGGAACAATACTTAGCCCTTAGTAAGTGACATTATTGTAATTTGGTAGAAACAGATATAATTTTCTTTAGGAAATCAAATTTTAAAAGCTTGACAGTATAACTTTGGCAAAGATTCGTTTGATGGTATGAAATTCTCTTAAAATGTTAACACTTTAAAATATATATTTTTTGTCACATTTCTTCTAATTATTTTCGCTGTTCTTTTACCCTTTGAGAACTGTTCACACTAGAGTCATCTGGAAAATGAAATCTAAACCTCAAGTTCATGTTAATCCTGTAGCACAGAATATATTCTAGATGAATAGATTGCCACAGGGCTGAGATGGGGTTTATTCTCAATTAAGAAGGCTGATTTAGAAGCCTTATTACTATATTCAATATAGAGATAGAGAGCAAAATATTGATGGGGAGGAGGAGATAAGTCAGAGGATACCAAGTAGCCAATTTGTAGGGTGAATAAATCTAGAGATCTAATGTATAACATGAGGACTGTAGGTAATAAATAAATTGTGCTGTATATGGAATTTATGCTACTAAAATGAGTAGATTTTAGTTGCTTTTGCCATAGAAGTAAAATAAAAACATGAATTAACCAGTGTGATCAAGAATATGTTCATTTACTTCACTATAGTAATCTTTTTACTACATATATGTATATACAGGTATTTATATGCCTTTATAACATCATGTTATATGCCTTAAACATACATAATAAAATTTAGTTTTTTGACTGCACAGATGTTATCCCCCTCCCCTGGTGCTAGGGTTGAAACCCACAACTACTAAGTAAACACTATAAATTTGAGCTATATTCTCAGCCTAAGAAGCATATT